GGACGGGCGGGACGAGCAGGCCCCGCCCCCTGGGCGCGCGCTGCGGCCATAAAGACTGGGAAGTCGGGTAGTTTGACCTGCCTGGGAAAGGGGTCCTGTGGAGTCCGCTGTGCGCCTTCTTGGTTCCTCTCCCCCACCCCATACACCCAGTTAAGGACAAACATTGGGAAATGGTAGTAGTCGCGCATATTTATTGAGGGCCAACAGTGAGACTCGGTGCCAAGCGTTTTGCTTTGTTGGTTTCTCCTCATTTAGTTCTTTCGGCAGGGAAGTCGCTTTCATTACCTCCTCTGCTGTCCCCTTTACTTCTCATCCATCCTTCATTCATCTCTTTGGTGCTGGGAATTAATCCCCGGGCATCTACACTGAGCTACATCCCCAGACCCTTTGGTTTTTTGAGACGAGGTCTTGCTAAATCACCCCAGGACTCGAACTTGCAATCCTCCCACCTCAGCCTCCAAGAGTGCTGGGACTACAAAGTTGTGCCACCACGCCTGGCACCTATGTCTTAATTTTAAACCCAATGTGCTCCCTCTGTTTGAAGTTGGCTGGAATCTACCCAGAAGGTGAATTATTTTTTAAAACAACATGTTTGGCCAGACACAATGGCGGGCCTGCAATCCCAGCTACTTAGTAGGTTGAAACAGGAGGATCGTGAGTCCAAGGCCAGTCCAGAAAGCTGATGAGATTCCATCTCAAAAATAAAAATATTTGGGTTCGATCCTGGGTACAAAAAAACAAATTTTTTTTTTTTTTGGTTCTAAGTAAATTGCACCAAGGCTATCAAATCTCTTGCATCGGAGGAGGTGAGAGCCCAGGATGTTGAGGAAGGACTCTGGTTGAATTGGGCTGGGAGATAGAGTTTCAGCTTTTCCTTTAGCACAGGCTGAGAATTCTACTAGTACACAAGAGGGATGGTGTGGCCCAGTGCAGAGATTCGGCATCCTCAGTCAGCTTGTCAGCTGCCACCTTTCATGTTTAATACTAGTGTGCTGTCATTTTCCAGGACTTTTAAAAATCATTTATGCTTCTTCAATTCTGTAGTTCAGCGTCATTAAACAGCAGGCGTAATGTCCCTAACAAACAGCGGTTGGAATAAAATAGCAATCACGCTTGGTGACTCAGAGCTGATCAGAAACCTACTGAAATTTCATCTGGAGGGGCGTCAGATTCGCAAATGTGAGACGCAAAGCTTTGGCTAAACAGCTCTGAAGCGCTGGGGATGAGGAGGTGAGGACGCGGGCGCCTGTCTTGCAGGAGGAGCGTGGAGAAGAGCAGCAGAGAGCCTGGAGCTGCAGGGATCTGGTCTCTCTGACCAGCCACGTGACCTTGGGCTTCACGTTTCCTTATCTGTCAAAAGGAGGAAATAACATATTTGCAGCTCCTCCAATCTCCTAGGGTTGATGTAATGATCCAATGAGATAATGGCTGAGAAAGTGTGTTGGAAAGACTATAAAGCTGAGGTGTTTTAAATTGACACTTATTAAGTGTCTTGGGTGAGACACAAAGATAAATATGATCTAGTTTCTGCCCCGAAGTTCACAGCCTAGTTAGAAGACATATGCACGTGAAAAGCAACTAATACAAGGCAGCAAATAGGTGTCAAAAGAGCAGTTTAGATAATAAACTATAGAGAAACTTGAAGAGGGTACAGAATTTTTTTTTCTGCAGCAATAGATAGGAAAGACAGTGAAATAAATCTTATATTCACTGGGCCTAAAAGGCAAGAGAAAATTTGGATCATTTAGGATGGAAGAAACATCCTAGCAAATGGAGACAGAGGTGCAGAATAGAAGTGGCATTCTAGGTCCAAGAAAAGAAAGGACCAGCTGAAGTGAGGGGCTTTTGTAGGCTCACTGACCTAAGAGTAGAAAGTTAAGCCTACAGGCCACCCTGGCAGTTGAAAATGCAGGAAAGTACTGAAAAAAGAATCTTATAATCAGACACCATCTGGTGTTCTTGAGCAGGAAAGAATTACAAGAGAGGCCCTAGAATTCACCCCTCCCCTCCCTTTTCTTTGCCTCCTTCCCCACCAAGCTCCTCCCTTCTTTTTTTAAAAGGTATCTTGGCGTGTGATTTTGGTTGGGGGGGTACCAGGGTTCGAACTCAGGACCTTGTACTTGCCAGACAGGCACTGTGCTGCGGAGCTACATCCCCAGCCTGCCCTCTATAAATTAATCTTTGCATTCCTTCATAATTCCCCTCTAGTTTCTCCTGCCTTTGATCAGCCATGATCTGCTTCCTGTTAATAGATTAGTTTGTGTTTTCCAGAATCTTACATAAATGGAATCAAATAAAAATGTATCCTTTGTCTGGTTTCTTTCATTCAGCATAATTTGAGGTTCATACATATCAGTATTAGTATCAATAATTCAGTGTTTTTTTTGTTTTGCTTTTTGCAACTGGGGATCAAACTCAGGATCTTGTGCTTGTGAGGCAGGGGTGGTGCCACTGAACTATAACCCCGGCAATACTTTGGTCTTTAATTTCATGTCTTTTTGTTGCTGAGAGCTAATATGAAATCTTTAAAACCTTGTTTGGGTTTGTATTCAAGAAAGCACTTCCTGCATCCCCCAGATACCCAGCCCAGTGAGTTTGATACTGAGGCACTCACCTCTTAGAAGAATGAATTTCTGAATACCCTACACAGCTAGTATCTTTGGTAGTCTTAGTCATTCCATGAAATATTTGGCCTTCAAGGCCAGGCTCTTCATAAGTGCTGTTCATCTTCCCTTCTGCTGCGCCATTTGCAAAATACAATCATTTGCTTCTTCTT